AATGACCGCATTGATGCCGGCATCGAATGTCCTATCAAGTTTCTGCCTTTACGGATGGCTTTGTCTCGTCGAAATAGGCTATTTTCATATATTATATGTTAAATTCCGCCTTCTGGATTGAGAGATATCGTCGTTTCTTTGCGGCCAACTATCTTGAATACATTTTTTTTCATATTTGATTTTTTTATTTTCTCCGGCTTCTACAGGCTACTCGACTTTATTCTGGGCTTGGGCTTTTTGGCTCTTGCTTGTGTTCTTCATTTAATTCATGGGTTTTTGTTGAGAGAAGGTTTTCGCGCAGCACTGTGCGAAAACATTTCTGGGCCCTTGGATTTAACAAGCGGCTAATGATGGAAGCAGAACCCAAAAAAAAATCTCGTGACCCCTATTCTCTCCTCAAACCTTCCTCTTCTCTCACCTCAAATCCTCCTCCCTCTCTCACCTCAAATCCTCCTCCCTCTCTCTCTTCAAACCCTCCTCCCTCGCTCGTGAAGCCCAAGCACTACCGCCCCAAACCCGACCAACTCCTCAAACCCTCCTCTCCCTCTCACGCTCGTGACCCCAAGCACTGGCGCCGACCAACTCCGACTCCGACCAACTCTGACTCCGACCTCCTCTTCTCGCAAAGTAATGATCTTTTTCTCTCCTCTCCCAAAAATTTTCAAACCCTAATTTGATTTCTCCATCGATTGCAGGCCCTAAGCAAGATCGCATGCAATCGTCTCCAGAAGGAGCTCGTCGAGTGGCAGGTCAATCCCCCCGTCGGATTCAAGCACAAGGTCTCCGATAATCTCCAGAGGTTAGGGTTACGATTTAGGGTTTTGTTATTGGTCTCTTTTTATTTGTTCTCGATTAAAAATTGATTGATTGTTCTTCTAAATAATTGTGAAGATAGGTTATTGAGGTTAATGGAGCGGAGGGGACTTTGTATGCCAATGAGACTTATCAGCTTCAGGTTGATTTTCCTGAGCATTACCCTATGGAAGCGCCTCAGGCGATGAAAAGACTCGATTTTTATTGTTAAATTTTGTGTTTTGGGGGGGAATTGGATTGTTACTGATGGAAAAGATGTGGGTTTTATTTGATGGGTTTTGTTGATCAGGTGATTTTTCTGAATCCGGCACCGTTGCATCCGCATATCTACAACAACAGGCATATTTATTTAGATAATTCTTGATTGGGTTGTTGAATTTGGTTTTATTATCTTTTGTGTTTAGTCTATGATGGATTTGTTATCAGTTTGGCTCTTTGCTTGTGTGAGAAGTGTTCCCGTTAATCCTTTTTTGGTGTAGTTGTTGGCGTAATGTTTTTATGAGAAGTCTGGTATCTTTTGTATCTATGAAGGGGCTATCCTTTTCTCATAGTTTATTTTCTATTCTCATTTTTGGTTGGTAGAAGATGGATATCTGCCTATTATATTTCCTTGTTTGCAACTTAAAGCAAATGCCATAATTGAAAGGGGGTGTCATTGCTTTTTATCTTCCTTCATAGTTTATTTCTTTAGGATGCATAATCATGTGGCGAGAGATGAGGATTAAGATTATCTTATGACTTTGTGATAGACACACTACATTCAAAGTCTTTGTTGCTTCAGCTTAGGTTTACATTTGGACACGAGACTTCAAACTCCAGGAAAATTTCGAATCCTATTTTACTGCAAGTGACACATTTGCTTCAAATGTCAGCATGGTTGCATCTACTGCCTGATACCATGGAATTACTTCAGTAGTTAGATTAAACAACCACCTCCATCCTGTCAACTTACTGATTTTTTCTGCATCTTGTTTTGTAACTAAAGACATCCCGTGTAACTTATTTTGCACTGTAAACTCTACTATTTCATTTTTAATTTTGATTTATAGCTTGGCTTGACACTGTATTTAGATTTAAGCTTCAAAGACATCGTATACTTTTTGTATTGTTTGTGGTATGTTTTTTGCAGATAAAAGATGAAGAACTTTTCGGAAGAGTTCAGTGGAGAAGAAGATGAGGGTTTAGTTCAAAGAAGATGTTATTGTGTGTTAATTTGCAAAATATGGATGTGCAAGCAAGGACACAATAAGGGCTTGGAATTTTATGGATGCCCAAGATACAAGAGACCTAATTGCAAGGGTTTCAACTTCTTCGAATGGGTTGGTGATAACAAGAACATCACAAAAAGGCGGGAAAGGCTAGAAAAAAATGATGAGGTTTTAAAAAAATTGTTGAATGATGTAATTTTATATTTGAAATTTATAAGTACCATTGTACTGATATTGTTGCTCTGTGTTATAGTCAAATGACTGAGCAACATATTAGTGAATGACTGATGTATCTAAATATCCTATTGAAATTGGTTCAGTTGTTATAATTATTTGATATACCTATCCCTAATATCTTTTGAGTTTGCTGAAAAGAGTTTGCTGCCTTGAGCTTGCTGTCTTGAGTTTGCTGCCTTGAGTTTGCTGACTTAGTTCTTCATAGATTATTTCTTAACAAATGTGTGCTATCAATAGAGATTTTGTTGTATTTTCCTATACGATCAAGTCTGTTGTATTTTCCTATACGTTTAAGAACAAACAAGATGAGAAGAACATTTTCCAGTTTCAAGTTTGTGTGAATGATGCGAAGTTCCTGATATGTGTTGCCCATTTGGACCAGCATTCTTGAACTTGGATACGAGTGGACATATTCTAAAACCCGTTGAACTTGATCTAATTTTTATCCAAGTTTTATTTGACATTTGGACCAGCATGCTTGAAATTTGGACCGTTATATGATGGTTCCTAATATGTGTTGCCCATTTGTGAAATTGGATGCGAAGTTCCTGATATGTGTTGCCCATTTGGACCAGAATATGCAAAAAAAGGCACATACTAATAAACCAAGTTGCCAAAAACTCAGCAACCAATAGAACATAACAAACTTGACCCATAAAATGTTAAATAAAAATTGGATTAAAAATGTGATGACCAAGATTAAGAGATGCCAGGAACAAACCATCATCAGAAAGACCAACAAGACAAACACAATACAAAGATAAAAAACTCAACCCAAAAACTGTTTCGCATCAGCCATCTTCTACCAACACATGACGACTATTACCAACAAATTCTGATACCAACGTACTAATACAAAAGATACAAAAACTCAACCCAAAAATACAATCACACCTCAAAAAGCCCTAACATACACAGATACATAACGATTTCAACCCCTTCTCACCAATAGTGCTATGATTTGCTTCGCCAACCTTGATCAAACTTCACGCAATAGTGAGAACTTCATCTGTATTAAAAAAATCATATTAAAGACCATTGCTTCATCACGTTAAAAAAAATCATGTTATATAACAAAATGACAATGTACAAGTTATTCCGTATGTATTAACCATTACCTTCCTCAAATGAATCTTCTAAATAATCAGTGGCTTCATCAATATTATCTTATTCCATTGAATTACTAAAAAAAATTGATGCTAGCAAAACACATTAAAGATCATTGCATGGTTGCACCAACTTAAAAAAAGCTTAAAAAAATAATAGCATTAGTATTACTAAAAAATTAATACACTACCTCGACAACTTTAGAGGGCAATTTCTGCTATCATGATTTTGTCTTTGCTTTCCACACAATTTGCATTTCCTAGGCCGGCATTTGCGGATCTCTCTCAATGGCTTTAACCTCTTCCCTTTAGGCCTTCCTTTTGTTCTTGCTTGACTTGGTTCATGAACTATATCTTGAGAACACTCCGCATGACTATAAGGTGCTTCCACATCTTGTCCAATTTCTTCATCATTGATGAGTTTCAAACATTGCACCTTATTAATAGCATCCACATCTTGTCCAATTTCTTCGACCATTTCATTAGCTAAGCAATTTAGTTCACTAAAACGAGAAGCAAAATTAATTGTGGCATTATCTCCAATAATATTATCATCTCTAAGAACAACCCTTTTTCTGACATTTCAGCACCATCTTTTTAGAATATATTGCTCCGGTAACTCACTATGATTGGTAATTTTAAGATATGCCAAGATATGTCGGCATTGAATGCCCTTGAATTCAAACATGAGACACGAACAACGGATCATTTTAGTTATTTTGCAATATATAATATGTCTCAATCTTTATTCATCATGACCACAAAAATTTAATTGGAATGTACTTTCTCTTTCATTTTCTTTTACTAGCTCAATGTTATACATTAAGCTAGGTTGAAGCTCGTCTTGAAGTACTTTCTCTTTCATTTTCTTTTACTAGCTCAATGTTATACATTAAGCTAGGTTGAAGCTCGTCTTGAAAAATATAAAAGATTTTTTTCTTTTACTAGCTCAATGTTATACATTAAGCTAGGTTGAAGCTCGTCTTGAAAAATATAAAAGATTTTTTTCATGTAGATTTGGACCATTTGTTTTTCCATTGACCACAAGGTCTTCAAATTTGGCTTTTTCTCCACTGTACAATGATCTTCTTTAAGCTCCCCCTGTCTTTGTCTCGCCAAGACCCTCTGAAAGATGGTCACGAAATCATGAAGTGAATTTTTTCTTGATACATACATTTTTAACAATGCATTCATCCCTTCACTTCTTTCACTGCTAGACATTCCAACCCAAAAGTGTTATTTATGATAAACCGAAGCCCATTTTTCACGAATTTCAGAGATATCATTTAGCCAATCATGCATTTCCAATCCATTTTTTTAAGAATTGAAATCCAATTCTCTTCAAAAGAGCTAGCAGTCTCGGAGTCCCAAAAATTTTCTTTGAAAGATTTCATAAATTCCGTTCTATAAGCCCATTTACCCAACTTCTCCGGAACTTTGTCCAAGATATGCCAAATGCAAAACCTATGTCGTATTTCTGGAAAAACTGTTTCAATTGCCTTGCATATGGCAAGACATTGATCTGTAATCATGCCTAAAGGAGGATGACTCATTGCTTCAATCCATTTGTTAAACAACCATACGAAAGACTTCGCCTCTTCATTTGGGATCAAGCCACATCCTAAAAAAACACTTTGCTAATAGTGATTTACTCCTACAAACGGCACAAATACCAAGCCATATTGATTTGTGTTATGCGTGGCATCGAAGGAGACAACATCGCCAAAGTGTTGATAATTCATTCGAGCAATGCCATGCACCCAAAAATAATGAGTTAAGCGCTTCTCTTCATCAACTTCATAAACATAATAAAATAAAGGATTCTTCTCTTGTTCCAACTTGAAATGATCCAACATCATTTGTACATCATGATCGCGTCTCTCCTCTCTCAAATCTCTTTCATAATTTCTCACATCGGTCTCAATGCATCCAATTCTATAAAAACCTCCGCTAGAGTTTTCAAAGAAGGTCATTTGCTTGTTTTTTGGAATGTTCACCTCTCCAAACTGCTTTATCAATGTCTTTTTCGCACTTGTTACCTCACGGTTTCCCCTTAGAAAATGTGTTCTACTCGGTGAAGTAATTGTATGATTATGCTCTTCCACGAACTTGTAGACACTCCATATGCCAATGTTTTTGTCTAATTTCAAGCGAATCAAGGCCTTACAATTTGTTCTAATTGTACCACATCGTCGAATTTTCAATGATTTGCTCTTTAACACTCCTTCCTTCGAACATACATAACTTTTACAAATTAACTCTCTATCCTTCCCATAATTTGTTGTGCTATTATGGATATTAAAACCTCCGGCCTTTCCGTAATTTCTGTAGAACTTTTTAGCGTCTTCTAAATTGCCGAAAGTCATTCCTGTTTTTGGTTTTAAGTGCTCATCAACAATTGGCACAACTAAGTTATCTAACTGAGAGATTTTTTCATCAACAACATGGGAGTAACCATCTTTAGTTTCCATTGGATCAAACATCAAGAACAATTTTTACCTACAAAAATAAACATCAAGAACAAACCATCAAAGGCCACTGTGCAAAAAAATAAACACTATTCTAACTTGAATATGATAGATATGTTATGCAGATTAGCAAAAAATGTCAATTAAGGCTTCTACTTAAAAGGTCAATGAATAATCCAACTTGAATTTATATTTTATCGCCTAATCAACCATGGGCCTAGGCTCTAATTCAGAAAGCAATAACTTGTCAGGGTAAAACAAATATGCTGTTAAACACAATCCACACATTCATAGACAAGGCAACCACCTAAACTATCAAAAATGAAAGCACATGCATGATATAACCAAACTCAACCATAGAAGGATTCAAATTTAGCAACCATGATAGCATTATTAAAAGAAGCATATAGATATAGTTTGAGTTCTCCATAAGCTTCGGGTTTTTGAAAAAATAAGATTTCATGTTTGGACTTCATAGACCCAAACAAAATGAGGTATAAATAATTAATACATCCAAACCAACACATCAGGACATAGGAACATCAGGAACTAAGGGAGAATATAGAACATCAGCCATCATAATCATGTATATCTCAGTAAAATACTCAAAAAAATTCGGCTTTCGAGAGGACAGACAAAAAATCCAACAAGCAATTTTGACTAAAATCCAACAAGCCTCAACCCTCATAATCATGTATAACTTATTAAACAACAAGAACCCTTAATCTTAAAAAAAATTAAAATTTTACCTACAAACACTTTTGATTCAAGCCCCCTTTAGATCCAAGTGAGAGAGAGTGGCCGCTGGGGGTTGGGGTCGGGGTCGGATCCGGAGTTGGAGAAGGAGGTCGGAGTCGGAGTTGGTCGGCGGCGGTGCTTAGGGTCACGAGCGAAAGAGGGAGAGGAGGGTTTAAGGAGTTGGTCGGGTAACGAGCAGCGGTGCTTAGGTTTCACGAGGGAGAGGGTTCCACGAGGGAGAGAGAGGGAGGAGGATTTGAGGTGAGAGAAGAGGAAGGTTTGAGGAGAAGCAATGTATCACGAGATTTTTTTTGGGTTCTATTTCCATCATCATCCGCTCGTTAAATCCAAGGGCCCAGAAATGTTTTCGCACAGTGCTGTGCGAAAACTATTTCGATATATATATATTGCTAGATTAAATTTGAGTTTAGTTTCCTTATTACTCATTATTTTCATACACAACTACTTGAGCTTAAGTTATTTCACGTATTGTATATTTTTGAGTTGTGAAAGTGTAACAATTGAGTGAGCTTTCATTTTTGTTCTCATTTGTATTAGAGAAAAAAATCATTTTTGTTCTCATTTGTAATACACAATGACACTTAGAGGAGTAGTTGGGAGAAGAACGAGGTCAATTCCAAGAGGAGTGGCTTGGTTGTAAAAGCCTAGGGAGAGATAGTAATTCCTAGCACTTGAGGAAGGTGACACGGGTCAGCCAACACTTAGAGAAGTGTATTGTGTGATTATCAATGTGTGAGTTATAAAAGTTTTCGGTGAGCTTTGAAAACTGATTGTGTAGATTTTTGAGAAAGTGGAGAATCTCATCGAGGTAAGGAGCGGAGACGTAGGTCAAGGGTTGACCGAACTCCGTGATCATATTGCTTGTTTGTGTTTGACATTAGCGTGCTTATTCTTGTGTATATTTTCATATCGCCTATTGTCACATAGTTTATATCGCTTGTTGTTTTGTATATCATTGCTTATATCATTGGGCATATCATATTGTTAGGATATTTAGTTTAGAAGTTTTAAATTGACATCGAAATTGGATTAGATTAGCAAATACCCTATTCAACCCCGCTCTAGGGTACTTTCAATGTTCATGTTTGTATATGCATGTAGCTAGTTATTTGTTTGTCTATGGACGTAACTAGTTGTTTGAACCAAGCTAAGTAGGACTTTTGAACTAACTAAATAAAAAAGATTTGCTATTGTGAAACTAAATTTCATTGATAAATTGCATATATGAGTTTACCAATAAAAGATAATCAAAGATCCACACTCATATAAAATCCACACAAAAATAGTGCATTGTTAAAAAAGGGTCAAAGACCCACACTTGAAGATTTATAGTTAGTTTAATGTCTCAAACGATAATCATCTTGTAATAAATGAAACATGCTTAAAAATGACCACATTGCCTGCCAAACACTATTATCCTTCCTTCTATGTCCTATATGTCCAATATGATAGGTTGAAATTTTGGTCTTTTTATTAAAGTTGAGATTTTCCCCCTTCTCTAGCTTGCTCATACATATTTGTTTGCATGCGTAGCATACTTGGATGTTGATTTGAATCATTTGTTCTAATATACTCCATGATAGTAATACGAGTCATATACATATACATGAAGTTATATGATGAGATCCACATGTAATGTTCTAACAATCATATTTTCTTATAAAACTTTATAGATTTACAAATATCTTTGTCTTTTGACATTTTTGTGCAATTTTTTGATAATTTACCTTTTTATATGTTTCACATGGGAGATTGATTGATTCGATGGAAATTTAAATTTTGAAACTTGAAAAGATGAGAGTATTGTAGAAATTGGAAATTGATTTTAAAAAACTTTTGAACAATTTATTTTTGGGGAGAAGATGATGAGTTTTTAAAAAAAGAGAAGCCCAGTTGTGGGTAGAGCTTTAAAAATATGCATATCATATTTCATGTATGCACATATATAAGGGGAGTTTCGTTATCATATTTCATATATCATGAAACTGAGAATATGCATAATTCATGTATGTCAAACATTCATATTTGCGATTTTAATTTCTAGTTTGTTATTATCAAAAGGGGGGTTTGTTAGAAATGTGTCCATGTAATAAACTTGGTTTGATGAATAACAAACTTTCATATTGGTCGACCATCGAAGGTTGCTTGCTAAAATTGCAATTTTTAATATGTTTGAACTCAATATTAGCCGTTCATTGCCGGGGGCATATGGGCTCTTTCCTCACAATTTTAGTGAGATTTTCTGATTTAATTGACATAGAAAAAGAAAGAGGAAGATTTTTTTGGGGGGTGGGGGTGGGGTGGGGCACTAGACTTTCAATTTAGGTGATTGATCTTGCTCAACCTCTCAGAAAGCATCCTCGACGTCGTTCTTCATTATCCAATCATCTATCATTCGAGGAGTGATGTCCTTAGGTCTCAATTTCATCATCGTTCTCCCAGATGGATGCTTTAATCATTAGAAGAACGGTTTGCATAATCAAATAGTTGTAAGATAATTTTAAAACTTGATTTTACGACGTACTCAAGCAGTGTCAATTGAGAGTTTACGACGCACTCAATGGGGGTTAGTAGAGGAATTGGTCAACAGATAGCTCTAGGGATACTCGTGTGTGAAGAGTTTATGTTAGACAATTAGTTTGGGATCAACTAGAGCTTCAGTCTTGTTAGCCTATTGAATCAGATGTGTGATTCAGAGGACTTTCACATAGTGAGGATGCCCCTTCGTGAGAAGGAAGAATGAATGTAGGATTGTTGTGTGTTTTGGCTGTGATTTGTTCCAAGCTTATTCGCATTATTTACTGTTTTAATTATATGTTTAATTTCCACTGCATATTATCTGTGATGATATCGTAAAATAGTAGGCTATCCTATTCACTTCCTTCTAGGATTGCATTTTAGATCTATCAGATTGATCTTTTAGATTGAAGAAAAAAAATAACTAGAAAGCACATGTAATTTATAGTTTTGTGTGTGAGTTACACATGACGAAACGCTGAAACCTATCTACTTTTTAAATACTAGTTGGATTACACGCGCAATGCACGTGGTAAATTTTTTAATTTATTAATTTATTATTGATTCATTTCATTATGATTTATTTAATTTAGTTCATGTTTCAAACATATGGATAGAATTTAAAAATTAAAAAGGATTGAATAATGAAATTACACTTATGTATGAAGTGGTTGATAATAGATTGTTTGCATACTTAACAATAGAAAACAATGAATAATTTTATAAAAAGAATTTTATTTTGTAAACACCATTGATCTTCAATCAACCAATGCTACCTATATACAGTTGACATTAGACAACCTATTTAATCATAATTATCCAATATAAATGTTACTAAAGAAAATAGTATCATCAGTTTTTTTAGTCTTACTTATTTCTATCTCCTTAAAACAATTAATAGTCATTCAGGAAACAATAGAGATACACCAAATGAGGATAAACATTATAGTATAACTAAAAATAATCTTATATGTCTTTACAAATATGGATCGTCTTTAATTGATAAATTTTTTGTAGAGTTAACTCTTAGACTATGCTCCAATAAGTTTCTTATTAGAATGTAATGCAGCTGTCATAGATCTGTTGGCCTTCTTGTTTTGATGATGTTTAACAAACAATTTACCACTAATGTTGTTTGTCTAGTATTTGTGTTTTCTTATTTATTGTAGACAAACAACGTAGTTGGAGGATGGATGGAATAGAGCTTCAACGATCATATCCAAAGGAGGTTGGCGGAATGTCGGTGAAGCCTTGCTATTCAAAGTTCAAGATCCAAGTTAAAGCTTCATCCACAAGATTACCTAGAAGAGCTTATTAAAGATCAAGATCTAGCTTGGGTAATTTAGTTTAGAATTTATATTATGTGTGTTATATACTCTAAGCTCAATTATCTATACACACACATTTTATTAGTTTCCTTGTATATATATGTAATCACATATATATACAACACAAGTTTTGGTTTTCATGTTTATAAATATGAAATTACATGTTTCATATTTATTATTGTGATTTGGTTTATCTACATAGATATGAAACAAATATATTTTCATATACTTACTCATAGGTTTCATTTTCTATTGTATTTGTGAAAATATTGTATTCTTAGTTTGTAGACTTTAATATCAGTTTATACATGTTTTACTAAGTCTACAAAAACATTTCACAAAGTTTCAAAAGTTGGTTTATGTCAAAACATCAAAATTCAAATATCTCATATTTTCATG